TTTTCTTACAAGGAATGTTGAAGTTTTCAGAACTAAAATTTACGCATTGTTAAAACCTGGACTTTTTAGGAAAAAATACTTCTGAAACATTTTTGGGTGAATTATTTCTTCAGCTGATCTCCTGATGTTTCTTTAGTTTTCGTTTTTTAAAATCTTTGGAATTTCAGTGTTTGCATAATTTTTACTCAGGTTAATCTATCATTTGGGCTAAAATGATTTCAATTTAGATTTTTCAATTTTCAGCAGCTAAAATTTTAATGTGATATTTAAAATCTCTTTCAGCTTTTATTTTCGAAAAATTTTCACATTCATTTTGAAGATTTTTCTTCTAAAATTTTAAATTTCAGTATTAGATATCAACTGAAAACTCTTGATGTCCATTTTGGAACTTTCATCAAATATTGTTATTTTAAAGCTTGACATATTTTTTAATGCAGAAGGAGGTTGAAGTTTTCAGAAGTAAAATATGAGCATTGATAGAATTTCTAATTTTTAGAACAAAATTGCTTCTGAAATATTTCCAGCTTAATTATTTCTTAAGTTTATCTCCTGATGTTCATTTAGTTTTCGTTTTATAAAATCTTTGGGATTTCGGTGTTTACATTATTTTTACGAAGATTAATCGACGATTTTTCTTAGAAAGAAGGTTGAAATTTTCAGAATTAAAATCTGCGCATTGTTAAAACTTCGAGTTTTTAGGAAAAAATTACTTTTGAAATATTTTTAGGTTAATCATTAATTTCTTCAGTTGATCTCCTGATGTTCCTTTAGTTTTTATTTTTTAAAATCTTTGGAATTTCAGTGTTTGCATAATTTTTACTCACGTTAATCTATCATTTGTGCTAAAATGATTTTAATTTAGTTTTTTCAATTGTCAAAAGCTAAAATTTCAATTTGATAGTTAAAATCTCTTTCAGCTTTTATTTTCGAAAAATTTACACATTCACTTTGAAGATTTTTCTTTTAAAATTTTAAATTTCAGTATTAGATAAAAACTGAAAACTCTAGACGTCCATTTTGGGACTTTCATCAAATACTGTTATTTTAAAGCTTGACATATTTTTTAATGCAGAATGAGGTTGAAGTTTTCAGAAGTAAAATATGAGCATTGATAGAATTTCTAATTTTTAGAACAAAATTATTTCTGAAATATTTCCAGCTTAATTATTTCTTCAGTTTATCTCCTGATGTTCGTTTAGTTTTCATTTTATAAAATTTTTGGAATTTTAGTGTTTACATTAGTTTTACGTAGATTAATCTACGATTCTTCTTAGAAAGAAGATTGAAGTTTTCAGAATTAAAATCTGCGCATTGTTAAAACTTCGACTTTTTAGGAAAAAAATACTTCTGAAACATTTTTGGGTGAATTATTTCTTCAGTTGATCTCCTGATGTTTCTTTAGTTTTCGTTTTTTAAAATCTTTGGAATTTCAGTGTTTGCATAATTTTTACTCAGGTTAATTTATTATTTGGGCTAAAATGATTTCAATTTAGTTTTTTCAATTTTCAAAAGCTAAAATTTCAATGTGATAGTTAAAATCTCTTTCAGCTTTTATTTTCGAAAAATTTCCACATTCATTTTGAAGACTTTTTCTTCTAAAATTTTAAATTTAAGTATTAGATTTCAAATGAAAACTCTTGACGTCCATTTTGAAACTTTCATCAAATACTGTTATTTTAAAGCTTGACATATTTTTTAATGCAGAAGGAGGTTGAAGTTTTCAGAAGTAAAATATGAGCATTGATAGAATTTCGAATTTTTAGTACAAAATTACTTCTGAAATATTTCCATCTTAATAATTTCTTAAGTTTGTCTCCTGATGTTCGCTTAGTTTTCATTTTATAAAATCGTTGGAATTTCAATGTTTGTATGCCTAAAATGTTTCCAATTTTTTTTTTCATGTTTCGAAAGCTAAAATTTACATCTCGTACTCAAGGTATTTTCTAGTTTCAAGTTTAAAATATTTTTAAATTGAATTTGATGAATTTTCTTCTACATTTCCGAACCTGTGACAGGGAACTCGAAAAGCAAAAAAAAAAGAATTGCAGTTTATCTTTGAAATATTAATCATATTAAGTAAGAAAATACTGAACTCATGTTCAGGATTTATGCTTTAAATTAAAATTACCCAAAATCGAGGTTTGCACATAAAAACAAAGCTGCCGAATTAAATTTTGAAATTATACAAAAAAGAGAAACCATTAACAGCCACACACAAAAACGTTCGACATTTTGTATATTTATTTTTGAATTTAGTATTTATAAAAGTCATTGAACAGTCAATTTATCCAAAAATAACCACAAAAACATATTAATTAACCACTACAAGAACCAAATTAGCAAAACTCAACAAAACCCAACAAAAACAAAATTGAAATTGCGCCATTTGTTCGAACCAGTCGCAATAATAATAAAATAGCCACCTGTCGTCCAATTAACCACCGTATTGTCTTAATGATAAAGTACAATCGCCGAAATTTCGACACTTTCATTTTTGCCTGGACATAAATAACGACAATAAAGCTCATTGTTTAAATTTTTTAGCAAGTCGAGTGGAACAAAACACGCCTAGCGCTACATAATTTAATTAACGCCACTACTAAACGCACATTAATTCCAATTTAAGTCAAAAAAGCAATCGCCAGCAGAAATAAACAAAATAATTAAAACAGCAATTAACAAAACCTTTCGCAATGCATCGCCAGAAAAATCCGAGCCATCTTTTACATTTTATTACAGAATTATAAATTTCTTATCTCATTACAGGAAATTATTGCTTCGAAATGAAATAATTCCCGCTTAATGCATTAATGACTTACAACGACGAGTCGCCATTACACAATTAACAAATTCCGAGATACGCACTAGAGAAACTCAGATCCGATCGATAAGCGAATTTTTCGAGGATTAATTATGAAGCGCATTAATGTCAGGATCTCGGAAAGCTCGAAAAAAAGCTCGCTATAAATCGGAATCCGCGTTGTTTGCACCTATTCCCACATGCACCTGTGCTACATTACCCGATATTATTTTATTAAGTGCCGTCTAGCAATTATGGGCGACTTCGTCGATAATTATTGGAGATTTATTGGAATGTCTCGCATTTCAGCAATCCGAAGCGAGAAAATACACGTGTCGCAGATAGCCATCTATTAAGCTCAGCTCTGAATTTTAAATAGCCAGGACGCGAAATTAGCCGAATTATGGGTAGATGGTTGTCCATTTTGCGTAACTGCTATCTTCCTTTCCCAGACGGATTTCGACACTTGCTGCTAAACGACCGGATGGACGTCTACTGTTCTATAACAAGAACTGGTTTGGTAGAATGTCCTCTGATTTAATTAGAACAAATGTGTGTTTATGGATTTTGGATTTCCGTTTTGGAGCGTCGCGATCGAGGGACGCCACACTTCCAAAAGAGATAAAAGCGGGTTTAATTAACGCTTGGAGCTTCTCCACTCTGACGGTAATTAATTATCGACAAAAAAAATTGTTCAGAGTGAAAACTTGAGCCATATTGTGGCTGAAATCGTTCGGACCAAAAGATTACGAAATCAGACTGTTATATCAATTTTTTAGGACGTGAAGTGCGAGATTAAGTTCTAAATTAGCTTCCAACGTTTTCTGATTTATAATGACGTGGAAGCCTTATATTATAATTATTAATGTAAACATCATTCCTATAATTTACTGCGTTGTAGAATTTTTTTAATAATAATAAATTTGTCTGTCAAGTTGTATATAATATAAAAATATTATCTAGCTGTGTCAGATATCACTGGAAAAGTAGGGCGTCTGACTTAAATTTCGAAAACCACACATGCGAAAATTTGGTAGAAATGTCTGCACATTAGTGCGTAATTAGTTTTAATTACCTACGGATTCTACAATTTTCAGCACTAAATTTTAATAACTCAGAAAATTTGTAGAAATATCGTTATTTATTATTTGGAATCGCGCTTATTCGAGATATTCTTCCTATTCCTGCGAAAATAAAACTTTGAGTGCCATCTGCGACCATAAGGAAGCTGGCACTTAATTCCCCCATTAACTCCATACTTCCATTAATTCGCTAAAATACCAAGCAAATTTCGTTGTCTCCATTAGGAATGGCATGACTCAAAACCCATGTTCCTACCGACGGAAGTTTAGCTAATTATTCCAAAAATTTTGTCAAATTGGTTGTTTTGGCGATACGGCGGAAGGTTATCGAACTGACCTTCAATAAATGTGAAATATCCGCGGAATAATGAATACAAACCTTGCGAACGAAATTAACCAAATTTAAATATTATCTTTTAACACAATAAGACAAAGGTTTCGACTTTGACTGCTAAAAACGAGTGTGAAGTCATTCACGATAATCCGGCCTGGGAAAATAGCGCAAATGGAGGGTTTCAGAATGCTCAAATTTGTTATTCATACGTGGATTGTTAAACAATACGGAGTCAGAGTGTATCTTCATCTGAAATTCTTCAAAGCTAAAAAATATTTCGTGCTTTACATGGTATTGTGGGGGATTGTTTATGGGCTCTGGACAACAACTTTATCGGGATTGTGGAGACCATTGTGGCTTTCGTTAATATTTATGCGCTAATGGATATCGGTGCTTAAAATTCGACCACGGCTAACGACCATGTGGGCAATTTAAATATCGGAGATTAAAAGTTTACCACATTTTTTTTTCGTTGGGTTTTCTTGAGACTGTAGCACAAAATGAAGCTTTTATTCGTCTTCAGTGTAATTATTGCAATTTTGGTTGTTTAATTTTTTTTTAAGAGTTTTATTGTCATTGTTTATTTTTGGAAGTTCACTAGTTTTTTCTGAACTTGCCTTTAAAATTTAAAGATAACTTAAGAAAAATAAAAATTGCACTAACTGCGGTCTTTAAAAGTACTTATTAAGCTCTGTCTCGAATATTTTCATTTAAATTAATTAATTTGTTAAGTAGGTAGTAATATTTGCTAAGGCCATTTAATTTTCCTAATCCTAGCACTCACCTCAAGTCCTTCAAGAACGAAAACACAAACAGTCACAAATCACGCACAACACAATTTAATCCGGTCCGAACCATCAACATCAAAACCTCAACATCAAGCACTCAATCTCTTCCAACGTTTCATCCGTCACTTAGAGAATTTTCCAACCCTTCACACTGCACTTCCAGTTCCAGGCGGCGGATTCCGAAGCACCACAACCCCGATCTCGAGCTCTGGAGCCCGGAAGCACTGGAGACGTCGACGCTGGCACAGAACACCGACCGGGAGATTTCGATGCTGGGTGAGGCGATCAAGTGTGTCGGGTCCGGAAAGCGTCCCGGAACAAGGATCACGCGGACTCGGCTTAAGGATGCGATCCACTGACTTCTCTGTTCCGACTGTGCCGGACGAGTGAGTGCCCGTCGCACTGTTATGCTTCAAGAATCGCGTACACCTGTTGATGTGGAGGGGAATTCAACAACCCCACCAACAGGTACCATTGTTATAGTTTGATATCAAACGCAGGAAATTGACGGAAATCGTCGGACGGCGAGGGCGAAGGCGTCGTAACGGGCGTCGGTGGAGGTAATGGGGCGTCGGATGGGCCGAATTGGTAACGATGGGTTGAATGAAATTGGAGTTGAGTGAGTTTTGGTGTGAAAGTTGATATGTAAATGGCGGCGTTGGTTATCTGGTCGGGTTGTGTGGACTGTAACTACTGTAATTAGGGTGATTTTTCCAATTGCAAGTTTGTGTTAAACATCGTTGCATGTAGAATAAAGCGCTAAGTACGGTGTTTATTCGTGCTTTATCGAAAATGTTTGTATTGTGGGTTCTTCTAAGAATGTTGTTAAATTTTTCTGAACTTGGAAAGTGAGCCTAATGTGTTCTTTGCGTTAAAATTTGTTCTAAAAAGTTAAGAGAGAAACTAACTTAAAAATAATCTGAGTTTGCAATATTGTTTCTACGTAAAAATAAAAAATATTCCCTTTTCCTCCTGTTCCTTTTATTTTTGATTTTATTTGTTTATTTAAATAAGGTAGGGTAAGGTCTACAAATTGTTTTCAGTTTAAAATTCCACAAATAGGAAAAAGTTAAGAACAACATTATATACTTAATATATTACCTAGAAATGTAAGATGTCTCCAAGGATTGATGGCGGAATGTTAGTCATTTTCTGTGAATTAATTTAAATATTATTAGTTTATGAGTGCATTTATAAACAAAATTACTCAGTTTAAATTATTTTTCAAATATACTGGATTCTCGCAATATTTTAAAGGTATGTAAAGCTATATATTTTCACGATATTTATTATTAATAAAATAATAATTATTGTCATAAATAGTTTTACCGTTTATTTAATTTCCTTCGAGGCTTCCTTGTCTAATTTAATAGTTATTTATGTATTAAGGGCATAATTAGGGAGATTATGGCACGAGGAAATATTTAAAGCCCGACGAAGGAGGGGTTTTAATTTCCCGAGGGCCATAATCGACAATTATGCACGTTTTATTCTATTTTAGTTTCCAAAATATTTTTACCGAAATAATGAGTTTTTCCGGTAAGATTTTTACAAAAATTTGAGGTCGGCCAGGGAATGATTTGATGAAATATTATTTCCCAACTTTAATAAAATTGTCGAATATCGAAGCTTGTTCGAATAATTAATTAATGTCAATGAATAATCAATCGTTGCTTAGCAATTTTTGACTGATTTGTGTCATAAAGGCCAATTTATGCCTGCATTTGGCTGCTTATAAACAAGATTATGATTCTAAAATTATTGACATTTTTTTACATCAGTACGATATAATCATTTTAAATTGTAACCTAAAAGTGCTCTAAGTTTTAGTTTTGAATTATTTTCAAATACGCAGGACATTTTGTTTGGAAATTATATTTCTATATATTTTTTTAAACGCAATACCTTACATATATTTTCGATTTAGATTCTTTATTAAAAAAGAGGGAAAACCAACAACTTTGAACATATTTTCCCATTTTCATGTCAAAAGGTGGACATATTTAAAAATTGTCTATTCCGTCAGTAATTATGTGGTGGGGGTTTTAAACCATTCTTATGGAAAATTAACACAGGATATTGTCAAAATTTCAGGAAAATTTAGAACATTTTGGGGGTGAATTTTATAGCTCATTGTAGCTATCATGACCACCTACCTATTAGAACGTTTCAGAGGGTGAGAATTTTGGTGCAGGTGACTACCAAATTTTTTTTTAGGGGCAAGTTGTCTTCAAAATGTTGCGAATTTTTTCAAATTTTCTCCAAAATAAAACACTGAAAATTCTTTCACATTATTTAAAAAATACTCTAGGGGATCCTAAGATTTCTTCAAACTGTTTTTACAAAAAAAAAACATCTAGAGCCAAGATCTTTTAAAATTCGTTCAAAAACCGAATACTAGGAGCCCTCAAGATTTTTTCGCTTTGTTTCTAAAATACAACAATGAAGATTCTTTCACAGTATTTAAAAAAAGTCTAGTTCTCTTCAGATACCTTCGAAAACCGAACATTAGGAACCCTCGAGATCGTTTCAAGTTCTCTTTACAGTAAAAGACTGAATATTCATTCTCATTATTTAAAAACAGTCACAAAATATTTAGAGCCAACATCTCTACAAATTTTTTCTAGAGATTATAAGACTCCTTTCAACTCTTTCGAAAAAAAAAAGCAGCTAGAGCCAAAATCTTGTCAAATTCATTCAAAAACCGAAGCTTAGGGACCCTCGAAATCTTTTTAAATTCTTTTTAAAATAAAACAATGACAATTATTTCACATTAATTAAAAGAGACCTTAGGATCTTAATATTCCTCCAATCTTTTTCGAAAAAAAAAAAAACACCTAGAGCCGAGATCTTGTCAAATTTGTTAAAAAATCGAACATTAGAAACGCTCGAGATCTTTTCAAATTCTTTCTAAAATAAAACTTTCACACTATTTAAAAAAAAAAGTCTAGAGAACTCTTAGATTCTTTCAAACTTTTCGAAAACAATACATTTCGCGGTAAGTTCTCTTCAGATACCTTCAAAAACCGAACATTAGGAACCCTCGAGATCGTTTCAAGTTCTCTCTACAATAAAATACTGAATATTCATTTTCATTATTTAAAAACAGTTACAAAATATTTAGAGCCAACATCTTCACAAATTTTTTCTAGAGATTATAAGACTTCTTTCAACTCTTTCGAAAAAAAAGCAGCTAGAGCCAAAATCTTGTCAAATTCATTCAAAAACCGAAGCTTAGGGACCCTCGAAATCTTTTTAAATTCTTTTTAAAATAAAACAATGAAAATTATTTCACATTATTTAAAAGAGACCCTAGGATCTTAATATTCCTTCAATTTAAAAAAAAAAAAAACAACTAGAGCCAAGATCTTTTCGAATTCGTTAAAAAATCGAACATTAGAAACGCTCGAGACCTTTTCAAATTCTTTCTAAAATAAAACTTTCACATCATTTAAAAAACGAATCTCGAGAACCCTAAGATTCTTTCAAACTCTTTCGAAAACTAAACATTTGGCTCTAGGATCTTTTCAAATTCGTTCAAAAACCGAAAGATAGGAGCCCTCCAGATTTTTTCCAATTTTCTCCAAAATAAAATACTGAAAATTATTTCGCATTATTTAAAAAAGACTTTAGGGTATCCTAAGATTCCTTCAAACTTTTTAGGAAAAAAAAAGTAAAGCCAAAATCTTCAAATTCTTTCAAAAACCGAAGCTTAGGGACCCTCGAGATCTTTTTAAATTCTTTTTAACATAAAACAATGAAAATTATTTCACATTATTTAAAAGAGACCTTAGGATCCTAATATTCCTTCAATCTTTTTCGAAAAAAAAACACCTAGAGCCAAGATCTTTTCAAATTTGTTAAAAAATCGAAGATTAGAAACGCTCGAGATCTTTTCAAATTCTTTGTAAAATAAAACTTTCACACTATTTAAAAAAAAAAGTCCAGAGAACCCCAATATTCTTTCAAACTCTTTCGAAAACTAAACCCTTGGCGCTAAGATCTTTTCAAATTCGTTCAAAAAGCGAAACTTAGGAGCCCTCGAGATCTTTTCAAATATTAAAAAAAATAAAACAATGAGGATTCCTTATTTAAAAAAAAATGTAACGAATTCTAAGATTCTTTCTGTCTATTTGATGCAGGTAATTACAGATTTTTTTTAGGGGTGAGTTTTCGGTCAGACTTCAGCCAGCCAGATAACTTAGCCCATAAAATCGTTTTGAATTTTTCTAAAATTTTGAGGATTTCCTATGTTAATCTTCCATAAAAATGGGCTAGAACCTCCACTACATAGCTATATCCGTTATATTAAAAGGAGGAAAATTACATAACACCCGAAGATATTTTAATCAACAATTTTCTATATACTTATTTAGATTTTGTTAACAAAAGGTGGGCATATTTAAAAATTATCAACTCCATCAGTACTTATGTGGTGGGGGTTCTAGGCCATTCTTATGGAAAATTATCACATAAAATCGTCAAAATTTCACCAAAATTTAGCACATTTTGGGCTTAAATTTTCTAGCTCATTGTAGCCATCATGATCACCTATTAGAAAGTTTTAGGGGGTGAGATATTTGATGCAGGTGACGAAATAAGAAAATAATGAAGAGTCTGTCTCATATTTGCTTATACAGTATGACTCAAAAAAATTAATGGATGCGTGAATTTTTTTATTGATTTAAAATTTTAAAGTTATTGTAGGCATGGTAAATTGTTAATCAAAATAAATTTTTCGATAGGTATTGATTTTTCGACTTTTCGATTATTTTAAATTTCTACGGAAATAATGTGTTTGAAAAACTAAAAATTAAAATTCCAGAAAATAATTGAAAAATGAAAGTTACCAATGCTAAAATTTTAAATTGTTCGTTTCTTTGGCTTTTCGATTTTTTTACTTTCTAAACATTTTTTACGATGTTTCAATTTTGTGATTCTTCGATTTTTCTATTTTGCAAATTTTCGATTAATTTTTTTTTTTAATTTTTATAAATTTTTCGGGTTGTCGATTTCTAGGTATTTTTTTTTTAAATTTCTCAATTTAATTTTATAATTTCTATTTTATATTGAATTTCACTAGATGTACTTTTATTTTTCGTTTTTTCATTTACATATTCAATTTTTCGAGCGTTTCGTTTTTGATTTTTCATTTTTCGACTTTTCTCTATTTCAAAATTTCAATTTTAATTAAATTAATTTAATAATTAATAATAATTAATTTTGTCACTTTATAGTTTTTCCGTAATTTTTTGTTACAAATTTTCGTTTTTTTTTTAATTTTACGATACTTAATTTTTCGATTTTTCAATGTTTCTGTGACACAGTTTTTCGTGTTTTCAATTTATAATTTTTTTTTCGTCTTTGAAGTTTTCCGGTTTTTCAAAT